GTAAGCTACAGGTTTACAATCTACGAGCTGACGGTAATCAATAGCCTACTCTACCAATAATTGAATATGGATATAAGGGATAATTAAAAGCAGCAACAGCAGTCAATAAGGTAGAAAATCTAGCCTATTCAATTTCTGCTAATGCCATCTGTTAAAATTGAATGAGTGGACTAAATTTTGATATAAAATGGTGCTGTTTTCTCACCCTTTAACCCTTTAATTTCCAACCAGCATTTGCCTTTGCACAACAATAATCTATCTACAGAGGCAGAGAGCGAAACAATGGCCTCGCGACTCCCGCAGGCCGCGTGAACTCTGGATGGTCCCCAGCTCGAGCCCCTGCATGGCCCTGTCCAGCGTGAGGACTAATGAAACTGTGAACCAGCGGTCAACGATTCTGATTGACCCTCTGGCGACCTGACGGCAGCTAGGCTACATTCTTAAAGAAGAATGCTCTTTCAAAAAACCGAAACACCACTCCGTTGTTGTTGTTGCCTCTAAAAGGAGTCCACCAAAGTTCAGAGCTAGGGAACCCTATTCAAAAGGTGTAAGCTAATGATTCCAGTCTTCAACCTCTATTCAACGGGGGAGTTTAGGCTGGAATCACTGTGAAAAATGAAAGTTTTAGGTCAAAGTCCTTTTTAGTCAAGGCATGGATTAATTGTCTAAACTGAATAGATTTCTGATCATTTGTACTTTCTACATGTGCACATGGGAGCTCTAAACTATAGGTTCATTTTTCAATCAAATCCGTTTGAATCAATGTTTAGCTCAGCTTTAAAACTCTTTTGTGTTTACCTTTCCCAAAATATGAAACCAATCTTGCTATTGCTGTTCCTCTTATTCCATGCAATGCAAGCTTTGTTTTTTTGCTTCAGCAATAAATGGTTCAGAGCAGGGTTTTCACCAGCCCTCATCATTGCCATGGGAATTTAGCAAACGTAAACAGCTAAAATGAGTTCCTGCCAGAACACAGAAAATTGCCCAAGGCAAGAACTTGAAACAGAAAACCCTTATGGCATCTTGACCAAAACCTACAGTAAATGCACATGCATGACACACCCTATGTTATTTGCGCATATGTTGCAAGTAAATGACAGCAACATCCTTATTAATACATTACGTGTGTGAACAAAGACATGATCTGTGGAAAGACAATAACATTGCCTTCAGCAGAGCATGGCACTGATTCTTGAGTGGGATAAAAATCAATTTCATATATATATATATAAATAAAATAGGCCTACCCAAGCAAACACAGTGTACAAAAAGATATTAACGACATCATCTATAATGTATATGTTATCAATCATATTGGTAAAATGGCCTTTCATTGCAGATTGCCTGATTATTGTTTAAACTCAAGCATCCTTGGATATATAGCCTTCAGTGCCTCCACTGGCCAGCTGACAACAGATGTTGAATTATCAACATCAACAGGGGCTGGGGTCCATCATGAATGTATTTCAGCAGGTTCTAATTGAGAAATTTACACTTGCCCCCAGGGCATGCTCTTTTAAGCATTGCAATCTTCATTTTAGTCCAATCTGAGGTCAATTCAGGCCAAGTTCGGAAATTTGCCATTAACAACTATCCCGACGCTGGTCACGTTGGTATTGCGGCTGGTAACTTGTAAACAAGCTACTCACCAACTTTGGCAGGTGACCAACTGTCATCATTCTCAGCTCAAAACCAAGATGTCTGGTGGAAATGTGAAAAGGGTGGATTTACCAACTGCTGTGGCCTGTACAACAGATGTTTAAAATAACAAAATATACAAGGCTTGTTCAACCACCTCCATAACAAACTGTATAACATAATACAGGTTTCTCTTCTATGGAAGAAAATCGTTCATTTTCCTATTCAATTTATAATCCTTGTACTTTTACCAATCCAGTAAGCATGTTATCCCTCAACAAAGAGCTTGGCAGTTATTGAAAGAGCCATAGGTGCTTACATACCACCGAGGTCACACATAATTAATTTGAAATGCTCTTGCAGTGCTGAGCTGGATGATTATGATGGAGTGTATTTAAAGATCAATACATAAATTATTTCCAAGAATCTCTGAAACCTTGGTATAGTTTAATTACTTTAATTGAGACTGTGGCTGAGACAAGGTGGCCGACTCCGTGTCACAAACGTATCCACTGGTGTTGTTAATGCTGGTGTTTATCATAGCTACTTTATTCTTTCATTGGTGTTTCACTACGTAAAAACGTTCAGATCCCTGTCCAGTGGACGAGCAGCTCCCCCTCCTGCTATTTCATTCTGTAAATCACGCTCCCGCTGCGCTACAAGACAGACTTTATCCATATTCTCTAGCACAATATCCACCTTGTCCAAAGTGCACTCTTGGGGCTGACAGTCTTCTAGGTGATAGTCTTGCTTGCTTACAGTAATTACACGCATCTATCAGAATTAATGTGGTTTGCCTTAATGAGTTATTGATGTCAAACAGCTACATGCTACAGCATCATAAATGGTTTCAATAAATTGTACAACGCTGATACATCAAGGGAAACATGCATGCACATCTTAAAAATGAATGGTCGAATGGTCTTTTACTGCAATTATTTTGAGTCATAGTAGATACAATGACTTTTTTTTTTTCCTGTGGGTGAACATGAGAATTTAAATCACTGTTAACAACAAGAAGAAGTCATCAGCAGCCAGCCGTGAAGTGAACCTTCGCCTATACATACCCTGTAGAACCGAATGTGTGTGGAGCTGCCTCAGTCACAGATTGGGTTCTGGGGGAGTCTATGGGCGATGACTAACCATCTATCAAAATTCAAGGGAAGAGAATGAAAACTAATGACTGTTAACAGTGCTTTTGCTTTGTGGTACTGCTCGCTTATACTTTCTACAATGCACCCTTTCCTAGCGGCTACTACCTACGACAATTGTCTATAGGTTGTCATGTTTTTCTCTGCATCCAAACTGATTACCAAATAGAGCAGGATGGTTTTCACACACCACGTTACACAGTATGCGATGTGATACTATTTAATTCCCTGGTAGCATTAAGGTGTGCTCAGTTGAGTGTTGATTAAAGGAAGCAAAACACTAATTTGGTTGCAGCATGAAGCTTAAACACAGAAAAAAAGCAATCAGAACAACAACATCACGCCTTGATCTGGGTACTGGTTAGAACCTAATAAAGATCTCAGAACTATTTACATGGCTTGCTGCCCTGATGAAATCACTTCTGCAGCCCACTCTATTCATAAAGGATTGTAGCTATATATTTTTTTTCACAGTAATTCGTATAAATGTTTCTTTACCTTGCCTAAACGGCGCTAAATGTCTGAAATTGATACTTCAAAATATTTTTTAGTGGCGGAAAATCCTCCTGTGAAATAAAAAAGTTGCAAATGCACCCACTTAACAGTGCGCATTAACACCTCCCATCACAAAATATGGTGTAAATGCTTTGCCCAATGGCATCTCAGTGGAATATGTTGAGGCAAGGGCCTCATTCACCACCTATATTTTGTTTTCAAGTTAAAACAGTTGAAACAATGAAACGAAGAGAAAAATAGTTCAACTGACAAAAAGAGAGAGATTTAGACACTTTATTACCTATCTGGTAGCCCAGTCATTCATTATAAAGTATTCTGCAACTCATTAGATCAGATAGATTAAGCCCATATAATCTTTAGTTCACTTGCACTCTGTCAACCATGCCCACATTTTCAAACTCATTACACCCTCCACATGAGCTCCTTTAATGTCCCAGGCAAGCAAAAACATTTTCTCCCTCTTGTCTTTATTGGAGTATTATTACAGGATATTAGGCAGAGGTAATAATACATTGCAGGACTTATTAAGAGGTTTTGGCTGAGCATCAGACCTACAGCATCCTCAGAGAGCAGCTGCAGCTAAAGAAGAAATCCTCATGAAATCCTTAACGGATTTATGGTTGGCTCCTCTGTGCAAAGAATATTTATTTTTAAACCCTGGCATCTGTGATTTAGCACTTTGGACAAAAACGAGTTGATTTTAGCAAAAGACAAGATGTTCACGCATGAAGTGCTCCCGGAATACAAGCACCCTCATTATGTGACTTCGTGTGGGGCTTGAATTTAGCATATTCTCACTTATCTCTTTCACGTTTTTCGATTTTAGCAGCAGTCTAATTCGCTTTCATTTTTCAACCCTGTCGCATTTCTCTCTCATCCAGCTTGCTTTAGCATAATTTTTTCAAGCCAAGCAATGCATTTATTTTCCCCCTTTAAAAGCCGAGTTGGTGGTGGTGAACGGGACACCTCGGGCTGACCCCGGCCTAACAAAGCCAACTACTAGTCACTGTCTGGGAACCTTTTATCTCATTCTTTTACTGGAGGCCTTTCTGACCGACCATGTTTTGTTGTCCATCTTTTGACTGGCCACAAGGCCAAATATGGCCCTGCCGTCCCTCAATATGGGCTAGATTAATTTTGCAGCTACGACCATCTGTGTGGGTGTTAAAGTCATTCAGCTAAAAGTCATAAATCTACAGTCCGTGCGTTTTCAATAGGTGCTGTGTGTGAGAGGGGGTGGGCAGATAAAGAGGAAAGAATAGGATAGATAGATAGATAGATAGATAGATAGATTAATAGATAGATTAATAGATAGATAGATAGATAGATAGATAGATCCATGTATACTAAAATCTAATAGGCTACACATTGAGTGATTAGACTCCACATGCCAGGTATCGGATTTTATCGTTATTTTCCACACACATCTATTCTTAACCATTATTCCCCGCCAGCAAAACCTCATTAGTCTAATAATGAACATTTTCCCCCCTTTCAAATTATCCCATTACGTCTGACATAAACAACCCGATGTGCCCTCTCTCATTGGCTGGCCGCAGGGTCACGTGGCCCGCGCGGCCGTCCGTCTATTTGACAGCCGCAGGATGGCTTGATGCCAGAGGGGGAAAAAGAGACAGAGAGAGGGGAGAGAAAGAAAAATTAGTATTCTCCTACCAACCTCGCTATAAATCAATCATGGAGTCCTATGTGGTGAGCTGTAAATATGCTGAGCCGCAGTTCCCGCCTTGTGAAGAAGATTATAGTAATTTTGGTAACCAAGTGGGGTATTACAACAACTCCCAGGACAGTGGTAGTTATGGAGGGGGTTATCAGTCCGTGCAGCCCCCTCCACCTCCATACACACCACAACAAACCGGCTATCAACCCTCTGTGCAGGGGCATCACCGGGAGGATGGAGAGGTCCAGTCGCAGCACCAAGGTGCGCCCTTCCCCGGCTACAGAGAGACAAACGCACCCGGTAGTAAGGAGAGGTTCTCCGTGGGTGACATGCAGTGCCAGGCCTGGATGACCTGTACAAAGTCCGCTCAGGTGCAGAGAAAAACGGCATGCCAGGGGAAAGACAAGCCGCCTATTGTTGTCTACCCGTGGATGAAGAAAGTGCACATCGCTCATGGTGAGACAGCCTGAAGATTTCATCTTTCTACTTCATGCTCTCTTCATTTTATTTTCTCCATAATTTAAATTTGATTCCCATGTTTGTTATTTTGCCTGCCAGGCGCCCTCTCGTTCTTCTTTCTTTCTCTCTCTCTCTCTTTTTCTTTCTTTCTTTTTCTTTTTTTCTTTCTTTCTTTCTAGTGTTTTGTCCATTTGTGAACATCGCTTTTTGTTGTCGAGTTATTTATGATCTCAGTGAGAGTCGGGGAGAATTACAACCCCTATAAAGTTTTATGGCCCTGCCACAGTGTGTGCGTTTGTGTGTGTGTGTGTGTGCGCGCGTGTAGGCTACGAAATTGTGTGTCTCTTGTGTGCAACGCTGTGGCTGAACAAAAATCTGCAAGTTAAAGTAAAACTCGTTTCCTCTTCGCAGTCAACCACAAATGAAGGTTAACACAAAAAATGGCCACGTGATAATATCTGCAATGATGTTTAAATAAGATTTTAAGATGCTAGACTTCCAGGCTAATTAGGTTACATTTCATGTAGCTTAATTTAGTGTGCAGGCTATAGGCTATAGGTGTTTAGGCGACACTGACCACAATAATATTAATACGAAAATAAAAGTAATTAGGCCTACAATTAAATAAACAAACAAACAAAACTTGATCTAATTCTCCTTTTTCTCTCTCTCTCTCTCTTTTTATTATTTTTATTTGTACAGTCAATCCGAACCATGTGGGCCCGGAGCCAAAGCGGCTACGGACAGCCTACACGCGCCAGCAGGTTCTGGAGCTCGAGAAGGAGTTTCATTTTAGTCGGTACCTCACGCGCCGCCGCCGTGTTGAGGTAGCCCACGCGCTCTGCCTGTCCGAGCGGCAGGTGAAGGTGTGGTTCCAGAACCGGCGCATGCGCTGGAAGAAAGACAACAAGCTACCGAACACCAAAGGAAGGAGCAAAAACAAGAAAACAACGGACGACAACAACAACAGCAGCAGCAGCAGCAGCAGCAGCAGCGACAGTGATGTGAGGGCGGTGATAACTGTCTGAACACGGACTTTGGCTGAGGCAGCCACGTTAGCACCTTCACTCTCCAAAACTGATGTTGCTTAACTGATCCAGGGTGACTGCAGTCCTGAAACAACTCTAAACTGCTTTAAAATTCGAGGCCATCCATCTATAGGCCTAAATAAGGCTTTATAAATTCATTAATGTATTTTGCCTAATATTTTAACGTTTACTTTTAAGTGTTTTTAATATTTTTCTGTTGTGTAGAGGTTACATCCTATTCCAGTCTGATATTTAATTCATTACTGAATGTTTTTGAGTCTTACATTTAGGTAAACTACAAGGTTGTAGATGGTCTGACACCTCTCTGGTGAAATTAGGGAGATGTTTCATATTTAGACATCTGATGTTAAAGGCGCTCCACCGTGAGGAGAGATAGCGTGTTTTGGAGAAAACAGGGTTTTATTTCTACAGGGTAAACATAATACAGGGTTTTATTATAGCTACTTAAAAGATGAAATAGTCGAATATGCACATGACCAAATGTTGTTTCCACCAACTGGCGCTTACACGGGCAAAACAATAAACAGAAGAAAGCCAAATTGCTCGGCGGCTGACTTGCAGAATGGTTGGACAAATAATGTTTTAGCTTTTATTTTGTACATAGGAGCATCCAAAAATAATGCATATTTAGGATAAGTAGCCATATAGTGCGGAATTTTTATATCCAAAAGGTGAATAAACTTTTGAATATTTTAGGGGAAGTGTCATATTTGTACACAGGGGAAATAAAGAAAATAAAAAAAAGGTACCGGTTTTTAATGCACGACGCTGACTGTAAATCCAACTTATTTTCTCAGGGTTACAGGGTTTTAACGAAAGGAACTTTTTGAAACGTTTGTCTGATTCAGCACCGAGAGGTTTTAAATAGTGATCTCTGAAACAGCATACTTTCGCATTTTCACAGAATATGTTCTCTCTTTGAGTCCAGTTTAATATGCTATTGATTTCTATTATAGCCTATACGCCAGTACTTATTTTTATTTGTATTATTTAGAAGCATATTTTATTCTTTGTAGCAAGCATCTTCTCTGTTCTTTTGTGAATGTGTTCATCTTTGAAAAACAAAAGAAACATTCTCTTTGTGTAAGAACTTTATATGTGGAAATGTTTTGATAAAAAACACTTAGATGATAAAAATTAAAAAATATTTCAAGCTGCAAAACTGCAAATATTTTTTCTCATCTCTCTCTAGCACACATACGCACAAATACACAGTAAGTAGCCTGTGGCTTTTTCTAAGGGATGTTGAGAGGATCAACGGAAGTGACGCGAAAATTACTCCAAAGATGGTTTGTGAATGAAAGACGAAAACTTAAAGCGCTCAGCATAATGATTCCCCTTATTATGAAAGTAATGCACATAAACTTTAACAGAGCAATCGTCTGTACCAAACACGATATTTGTTACAATCATAATTTAACGGAGCGTGAAGTCACTTGAGTTGAGCCAGTGCACATCCCTAGTCCGCGATGTCTCAACTGAGAAGATTTTTAAAAGTAAGGATTTTCTCCTGTGGGAGGATTTATAAATGTGCTCCTAATTCTTCCGTGGATAAACGGCGATCCTTAACGTTTAATCATTAGAGCGACAGCTTGTTTTAACTGTTGTCTTGAGATTTAGTAGCCTAAAAGACCCGGTGGTGGAGGCAGATGTTTCTGCACAAAAGTTGTTGTTGCGCACAAGTCGATGGAATGTCAAATGTTAAAATATGTGACTGTGGTTTAGTAGACTTTAATATTGCCTGAAATGGCAGACATGAATTGTAGTCTGCTTTACATATCAGCGTCTTTGTATAGTTAAAAAACGCATTGTTTACGCACAGCGCAAGGACGTCATGGACTACTTCAGGTGAAAGAAATACACTCGTTCTGTGTGTGTGTGTGTGTCTGTGTGTGAGTGGTGAAATGTAAGGGAAATGAGAGGCATTAATTGGTGGCTTCCGGTCGAGAAGCGGTAAGTGTGCAGGGAAGGCACAGCGGGGCTGACCAACTGAGGGACACTCAACTTGTGGGGAATTCAGTAAACCACTAAACGACAACAGACCCTTTTATAAGTACAGAATCAGTAAAAGAAAATAAAACATATCGGTATATGCTCAGTGACAATTTGTTCTTTTTATGTCCATTTAAATGGACAAAAGACTAGTACAGCAGTGCATCTCTGGAGATTCCCAGGGTGCAAAATAGGCTTTATTTCTACTGAATACAATTTAACCTAATGTCCCACTAATGGTTTACTGTGCATTGTGCTTTTTGTATTGTAAACATCTCTAAACATATTTTGTAATGCCCGAGATGTATGCGTTTGTGCTTGGTGAAACGTTATGCATGTAATCTGCCTTTCTGCAGTATGACTGTGGTGAGGCAGGAACGCCCCCGACTGGTTACATTAAGTACTAGCCTGAGAGAGAGAGAGAGAGAGAGAGAGAGAGAGAGAGAGAGAGAGAGATCCATCATGTTGAGATGTTCTCAAAAAAAATTCCATGGCAAAGTTTTGGATTGGCTATACAGTCCTCATGGATTAGGAAAATGTGAGATGTAATGAGATTGCATTAACACTGATTGGCATAACGTCAAGAAGTGACAATGAAAGGAACACATGCAAGTATGGAAACAAACCGGCAATACAAACTTCCGTGTGCAAAGCTTTTCATGTTCAGTTGTTGTTTGACTGTGTCAAAATTGATTCAACACTAGCTCTACTGACACTTTTTTGTCCACCCGTGTACAGTGTCACCGCCCATCAGACTATAGAGAAAGCCGCACTACACCTACAGACAGGTTTGTTTTTTATGACAGACTGGGATATTTCACACACAGCGACTGCGCCATACAGTTGTCGTCTCCAGCTCAAGCGTAAAGCGGAACTAAAATCGGAGTTACATTGATCCACGGGACGTTAATCGCCGGCGGACTAGTCGATGACTGCAGAGCAGGCACTTGCCCTTAAACTTGCATGCAGTGGAATTGACCTCATCTGCTATTATAATTATTAATTAGCAATAAAGGATATTACAACATCGCAATGTCTCTTGCGGCAGAGGCTTTCGTGTCGCAGATGGCAGGTAATGTGTTGACTTTCCCCGTTGTTATTATTATTGTCTATTAAGCTAAGTAGCTAGCTAACACCATCTAACGTTTACAGTCATGCCAATTTTTCCTAACGTTAGTTAATTACATATAAGAGATCACTGCCGTTTAACTTAGCAGGATTGTTCAAATACATCTGTAGCGATGGTTGTCCTTGTCCACCCTGTTTCGTTTCTTTAGCAAAGACTAGCTGGGTTAGCCTAGCCCACATACATGACTGTCACTCTGGCTTCAGTCCTAGATGGCTAACCAAGTGTAGCACCCATTTTCGGCTTTTGATGCCAATAAATCTGTTTATCAGATTAATGTTAAGAATACAAACCCTTTTGGAGGACAGCGAATTTAAGCCGGAACAGTTCAGGGGGATCCACGTAGATGGCAGCCTTGTATCGAGTTGGAAAAACACGAATTAGCCCCACGAAGTGAGGCTAAATTATATTAAATTCAGCTAGCACAGTAAGATCCAAGATGGCGAATAACTTCTTCCTCACTTAACGTGGAGCGCTGCTCGGCACTGGCTTGCTCAGAGCTGCCACTGGTGGCTGGAGGCTATAGTGCAACAATAATAATGAAGACTCATAGACTGAAGCTCTGACTCTGTTGTAATATAACTTCCAGTCATCAGCGGTAACAGTTAGCGCAGAGCTACTGAGCAGCATTGCATTTAGGGAGAGAAGAAATCATTTGCCATCTTGCATTTTTACATAGGTTAAATGCACTTTGCCTACACCATCGGCCTAAATCGTGTTTTTTTTTAAATCGTGTGAGGCACCTCACCTCACTGATGCTCGGGAGATGAGCACCAATGATCGTCTGAGCAGTTTTAATCACCTGCTGTAGAGCCCTCAGGGTCTCGGCTGTGCACATCCGATGACAGTTGGTGATGTTTTCAGTCAGGATGCCTTATAATTGTGCATCTGTGTGTTATTTTTATTTTTAACATTGACAGCTGCTGAGCCTTGGCCTGAAACTGCAACCTTGTACCAACCGCTGAAGGGTACGTCAGCGTTTGTTTTAAAGTGGAGAAACAATATAAATTGTGTCTATAGAGACATGGATATTTGTTGTTTATATTACTCTGGTGTTGCTTTTACAGAAGATCAGATTTTGCTGTCAGACTGCGCCTCATCTCTTGCTGTTCAGGTGAAATTGTGTCTGCGTCTTCTCAGCAAATATGGCTGCACATTGTGAATCAGCACTGAATCACCCTGTCCTGTTTCTCTCCTGTACAGGCATACCTCAGGATGTGCGGTCTACCAGTGCAGGTGGCTTGCAGAGCAAATGCTGAATACATGTCACCTTCTGGTTAGTACAGTTGCTGCTGCAGAGGAGGATTTACCGATGCCATGCTATGAATACAATGTTGGGATTCTGGCATGTGGTCTTTGTGGTGTGGTCTATCTCACTGAAAAATCGATTTTGTATCTTTCAGTTCAGAGAAACAGAGACATTTTGAAATCCAGTATTGTGTCAACATATAACCAAAAGTTGATTCAGGTGTTAAGACTAAGATTTTAATGTCTCTATACTTTAGCTGCTTCAGAAATTTTCAGCTGTTCTTAATTGGACATTAAGTGTGATAACTTGTATGTCCCTTTCAATCCTTGTGGCCTGGTCTGTCCCACTACTTTGTATACAGATTGTGTCTAGATGCAGGTGAAACAGATAGCAACTTGAAGGCACTGGGGTTGCTCCTTTTTAAAAAAAGAAAAAAAAGAGACTAACAATTTCCCCTCACTCTCTCTGTTTTGTTTTTGTCTGTCTGTAGGTAAGATTCCCTTTATCCACGTAGGGAACCAAGTCGTGTCTGAACTGGCACCGATAGTGCAATTCACCAAAGCTAAGGTGTGTAACACAAATATCGTTAAGTTATTGATTTTGATTAACTCTCAGAGACACCTTTAAAACATTTCATCAAAAAAGGATTTATTTAAAATGAGAGAAATTCTCTGTGTTTTTGGGTTCTCAGGGTCATTCTTTGAGCGATGGCTTAGATGATGTTCAGAGAGCTGAAATGAAAGCCTACATGGAGCTGGTCAACAACATGCTGCTTACTGCTGAGGTACACACACACACGTTTGTTCCTTTATCCCCATGGGGACATCTGTTTTACATAATGCATTCACTAACCCCATACCCTGACCTTAACCATCACAACTACATACTTAACCTTAACCCAACTGTAACCCGAACCCTAAAACCAAGTCTTACCCCTCGAAAGCAGTCTCTACCTGAGGGGACCGTCGTCATCACGATTGGTTAGTGTGCATTAAAGTCCCCACTGAGATATAAAAACATGACGTACACACACACATTCGTACAATCATTTCCAGGAAACCATAAACTGGTAGGTTACACAATTATCAATATTTGTGTATAATATCTTCTCATTGAAGTCTCCTTTCCTTTCTACAGTTGTATATCCAGTGGTGTGATGAGGCTACAGCTGCTGAGGTGTGTATACTTGTCTGTAGATTTAAAAAGAAAATAAAAAAAGATTTGGCAGTGATAATTCAGTGCCTCTTAATTACACGTATGTGTTTTGTGCAGATCTCCCGCCCCAGATACAGCAGTCCTTACTCGTGGCCTCTCAGTAACATCCTTGCTTATCAGAAGCAGTGGGAGGTTCGCAGGAAGATGAACGCCATCGGCTGGGGAGGGAAAACCCTGGAGCAGGTTAGCAGCTGCCCGGCAACAAATGTCTGAGGTTTTTACATGCTTGGCAATTGTTTTCATGCCAACCCAGATACTATATTCTCATAAAATATTGACATAAATTGACAAAAACATGATTAAACAAAACTTTTTGTCCTTTCATGTGTTTCAGGTTTATGAGGATGTGAGTCAGTGCTGCCAGGCTCTCTCCCAGAGGCTGGGAACACAACCATACTTCTTTAATAAACAGTACGCAATTGTCTATCTCTTTGAATGATGCCCATCTGATGTGAATTGTTTCTATTTGTTTGTTATAGCAGCTGAATAACAAAACAGAAATAGGGTGGCACAGGGAGGGGGTAGGCTTCAGTACTTAAAAAATATGCTGAGGCCCTGCAGATTCTGCTCTGTAGCTGATCTTGTTGAGGGCCAAGCAAAAAAGGAAGTGTTTGGAAGCATCTTCTTTAGCACCGCCTTGTGGTGTAATACTGTAATGATCTCCTAAACACCTCAGAAGGTTTAGCATGTGTTAATGCCTTTAAATAAATTATAAAAACCATAGCCAATGTTTGTAATGTTCTTTATGTTTATGTCACGGCTTCTTTTAACTTCACAGATTAGAGATCTCATTTATAACATAATTATTTAGAAATATTAGTGCTGACCTAAGCTTTACTCAGCCACTCGGGTCAAAAAATGAGATGTGGCTTAACATATAACTAAAATTAAAGTAAAAATTGTAAATTGACCTAAGTGTGTGCTTGTGTGTTGTAGGCCTACAGAACTGGATGCGTTGGTGTTTGGTCACCTCTTCACAATACTGACCACCAGGCTGACCAGCACTGAGCTGGCAGAGAGGATCAAGAGCTACAGCAACCTGCTGTCCTTCTGCAGACGCATCGAACAGACCTACTTTGAAGACAAGACCTCTTGAGTGACTTTAAAATAACCTGTGTATTAAACCTTGTACATTATGTCCTTCCTTCTCTCATTCCCTCACTGTAGCACTGAGAAGCTTATTTTCACATACCTGTCCCTATGTGATTTTTTCCCCTTTCCTTCTCCCTTTTGCTTCAAACATTGTTGCATGATGCTGATAGGAATCCAGAGGAGCCACTTCTTTTAAGGAATAAGATGTATCTACTGCAAATAAATAAATATACCAGCAAGGGAGTGCTTACATATAAGTCCATGCATGGCTGGCATCAGAGTACCCCAACATCACAGTAAAGATGATTCTCTTAAAAAAATATTTCACAGTTAAACACAGAATAAATATGGATGTTGGCGAGAACACACCACGTGCGCTAGTCAGTCTGATATGCATAACTGTTTTAGATGAAGTGCTTCAGGAAAGCACCAAATTAGTTTTCAGTAGACCATGGCGCCTTTAAGATCACAACAAGCATATTGATGATAATAATGCAACTCTTCACAAATCCCAGAAGGTGATGATAAGGATGTGACTTATTCCTTAGTTTTTCCAACATTGTTTTATTTCTGTGAATTGAAAGTGCCTACAAAATAAAAGTCGTTGAATTTATATTTTTGTTGTTTATTTTCTTCCCAGTATAGCATGGAAGTTATTTATTTGATGTTGGATTTCATAACAGAAATGTATAATAATTACAAAATTACACCAGTTGTAATTGTTATCCTGTGTTTAACATTTTATGTAGAATAATTTATTGATAAATGATAATAGAAATAAAGGAAGCATGATGTCATCAAATAATAAAAATCACCCTAACCCTAACACACACACTTGTAACTGATGATTTTTTAAAATTCCTCCATGAAGCGTTGCTGAAACATTCTCACCATCTGAAATATTTTAGTTAGAAAAAGTTTTAACTGAGGAAAGTCCACAGCTTCAGTCTATGAGAAGATCACTTGAATTCTATTTTTGGGCCAGATGGTTCACACACAGCTGTGTGTTTCTGCCTCCAGGTCACAGACAAGCTCAGTGGTAATGTCTGATCACCTCTGATTGCCCTCCAACTGACCAGTTTGCGTGTGTGTGTGTGTGTGTGTGTGACTGAGCCAGTGTCTGTCTTCCAGGTTTCCTGTGAGGTCAGAGTGTGACCTTTGAACTTCCAGGAGCTGTGACATCATGAGTGATGACTTGCAATGGCCAAACTCTGCACAGTTAGAGGTCGTCAGCCAGACAACAGGCGAACGACAGAGAGAAATAAACAGAAAGGTACAAGTCCACAGTAATTTGTGGATTTTTAGACCAGATGACCTGAAGCCTCAGGCCACCAATAGCCACTTGACCCCATAACCTATATGAAGTTGTAGATCAAATACCTACTCTTAAGAAACATGCTTGAACAATGTACATATCTTTTCTTGTTTATTTGTCATTTTCTGGAAGATAATGGGTCAGTTGCAGATGATGCAGAGTCATCTGACATTGCAGCTACGATGTGTTTTGGTGTTAGTTCCTTACCATAAAAGGGTAAGAGCTTCTTTCTAGAGCCGCCATTTTACACAGATGTTGAACCATCCTACAGGAGAAATCATCACAAAAAAAGAGACAGAGAGATACAAGTGTCTTCCCTCATACTGTCCTACACGCAGCTGAAAACTCTGTCACAACTGATGAGGAGAACCCATGTGATTTCTTTTAAAAATTACACATAAGAAACTCTCTTGAGCTAAAGTGAAAATAATGTAGGCTATTTACAACATAATGGGCTGTGAGAGTAAAAGAGACTGACTGGCATGAGCTCAGCAGCCTTTATAGCAGTCAGGCAGCTCTCCTGCTGGGAGAGACCACAGGAAGCTGGAAATCTGCAGACAGTTTCTTAATACTAGATCCCTGACTAAAGGACAATAAAAAACTTGTGTATAGTGGTCTTGTGTTAAATATTTCGTTATTTAATGTGTTTATAATGATGCATTTTACAAAAACAAACCATGCGTAGTAGTCACACAAGTCCAAATACCGTTTGAAGCAGCTGGGCCAATGTAAGACAACAAAAACATGGAAAGGGTCCACACACACACTAGCTCCCTTAAGTGCAATTTATTGGCACATCAGCCAATGAGCATTAACCCAAAATGTCACAAATGGATGCCAATAAATTGCACTTAAGGGAGGTATAGTGTGAAGACCCTTTTTCATGTTTGCATTTTACTGAAACACATTTGTGCTTGGTCAAATTAACACAAACTAATTAAAAACTAATACATACATACATACATACATACATACACAAAGTGGATAAAGTGTGAGAAACATAATCATATTGTCTTAATAACCTTTATTTTTTTTTTAAACATTGCACTGAGCACAGATTTACTCTGAGCATCAGATACACAAATTGTAATAACAATTTATTTCCAGGAGAGGGCAGCATGAGGATAGAAAAGGAACCTGCTGCTGCAGAGATTTGTAAAGTTTAGCGGCCTACTGCTGATTAGGCAAAATTGTACATGGATATATTTAAGAAGCTGAAAAAATGATTAGTAAAGTAATATAGTTTATTTTTAATTACTCTGCAATTTTGGGCGAATCTGACAAAATGTGGACTTATTTCCTAGAGGAGTTCTTGTTAGTTTTATTTTTAGAATGTGTTTCCTTTATGTGTCACTTATTTGACCGAGTGTAGGTGATGCACTGGGTGGATCGGCTTCTGGGCTGGTTGCACTGATTCTGTTTTTTGATGCATGCTGGGCCATGATGCAACAAAATGCAAAACAAACAAAACAAAAAACTCCATAAGGAATTTGAATGGGTAGAGCTGTGGAGTCTAAATGCACTCAGTTATTTCAGTTCCTCTGCTGTTCATTTTATGTGGTGACATGTAACACATACTGGCACAATCACGGTTTCATTTACTCATGTTGCTGGATAGCAAACAGATTTTTATTAAAACCAGTTAATCACAATCAGATGTGGTGTTGGAACAAAGCTCACTTAACAACGTAATAATGTGTAATTGAATGTGTGATAAGAAAAATATGTGTGCAACTCAAATGCTATTAGATACTATTTCCTTTCCATTCTGACAGAGATTTAAACTTGGGATAAGTATTGGTCTTAGGTAGGTGTGGTAGAGAACGCATATAGTTACTGAAAGGACCTCATAAAGACACATCTGATAAGTGTGTGTGTGTGTGTGTGTGTGTTCAGATAAAAATGAAGAGTTTGTGTTCATGAGTGTGAATGTATATAAGTACATGTGCTTTGATGTGAAGTGTCAGATTAGACAATATAACTGGAGGCGTATAATTACACAGCTTGATTATCAGAGTGAGTCATGATACATAATCTGGACTTTCTGAGTGAGAGAGAAGACAGCAAGAGAAGAATGTTTTTAATGTAGCTGGAGAGTGTGGGTGAGATGGTTTTCATATGTCTATGCAAATGGTGTATTTTTGTAATTTGATAAAACCAATGCAATAAGTCATCTCAGGTGCTGTGACCCAGTTTATCTGTAATCTCATTCACATAAACAAGATTAGCATGATGTCTTAGGTGTCAAAGCACAGGGACAGTTTTAGTGATTTGGAGGCCCCAGGCAGGCATAGACTGAGCTGAGGGCCTGTGTGTGTTTGCGTGCGTGTGTTTGCGTGCGTGTGCGCGCGTAAGCTAGGCTACACAGAACATTTAAGAGAATTTACATGACAAAATCATTTAAACCTAGAAAAAATTATTTCATTAAGCTTGAGTGGCTGACTTTGCAGAATATGACATGACACAATCCCCTACATTCACTGTGATTTACCACCACCCTGCCAAGGCTGGGCACAGTGACAGCGCTGCAGGAAACCCTGCCCTTCTCTACCTCGCATTACACACTCCTGGCAAGAAAACTAAAACGATTTGCTCTTTTCAGTGAACAAAGCCAAATGAGCCTTCTCACTGAAGGCTTTTGAATGTGTGGTAATCGCCCTTCACTCAGTTAGAAGAAGACAAAGGGACAAGAAAATGATTAAAAATTAAGTCATTTCAAAATTAAACACATTTTTACTTTTGTGAAACTAAAGCCTGCGCAAACTTGATGTCTTAAGTAGAAAAATGACCGCATTAGCCATTTGCTTGAACAATTTAAATAAACTGTGTTTATGTTTTCCTGTGGTTGTTTGAATAATTACTGGCTTGTATAATTACAACAAAATTAGCATTTGCTTTACATTCACATGAAGTTCAGTTTATATGCCATGAGGAGCACTACTCAGCCTGTGGAAACAGTTGCAAAATGTCTTCTGTGGCTCTGGAGAGTGCTTTCTAAAGTCCTGGAAAATAACCCTGATGTCATCAGGAAATAAAAAATGCTGTTATGGGAAATCTTGAACCATTCTACATTCTGTCTAGTACCAGACAGTACTGTTGTAATGTAAATTAATGGTAGCATATAGACGTGTATTTACTCTGGGTGGCTCAAACTGAGGCTTAGACATGTACGGTATGTTGATAGTAGCTTGCAACAGCCTGGAACCTGAATGCACCTTTGGGTTGGGTCAATAAAATCTGCTATTTACAACAGAGAACACTGTTCCTGTCTCATTTCTTACAAGCAGTTAGTGTTGGTTTATTTTAACTGTACAGTAAATAACCATAACAGCAAAATGAAAATGCTTCTTACACTGTCTCTCGTCAAGCAGACAGATTTGTGTCTTTAGCTCAAAGTAACATGAGTACAAACAGCGAGGGGAAGAAACCATACATATACATTTGTTGGTTATTTGTAGCGTGCAGCCGAAGTTTGCAAACAAACTTCATCAGTCCAGAGGTTGCACAGCTGGACTACGCCTTATGGAAGGTCCACCTATACCAAGGAATGTGTGTTTGTTTCTTTGCCTGTGTAGCTTGTGTGTATAAGTGGCAATTTATACCTGTAAGCATGAGTTTCCTCCAACATCTTCCTTCATCCAGCACATATGTGCCTCCATAATGTGAGAATGCGACCATTTGTACTTGTAAGTGTGTGTGCGTAGTTATGTAGTTTCATTAAGTGCTAGGAAGTGGGGTTTCTTTTGAGGCGATGTAGATTTGAGTGGAATAAAGAGATTAGCTGTGTGTCCATAATCCCCTCCTCTTCTCACAGTCCGTCCCCTCATGCTTACACACACACACACACACACACACACACACACTCTTCAACACTTGGCTACTTCCCTCCTCCATGATTTTCATGTCTCTTCTAATTGACCATGATGTTTCTTATACTCGTGTTTAGCCTCATCCTTCACAGTTTACGCAGATAAACGTGCTTTGCTGCAGCAGACTTAAAGTGCGAATTTACATGTTGAAATAACCCAACAAGTCTGATTTGTCTCAGGAAAGGTTGGTATTTACTCTAAAAAGTGTAAACATTTAACGGTTTCAGACTCTCATATTCTTCTGCTTTGCTTTTAGTCATTCACAGTTTTACATACAGATCACCTAGTGGATTATTCTCACCCTGGTGTAGTAGGCGACATCCATTTAAAAATAAATACTAAATGTTCTGTGCTCCCCCACAAGTTGAGCAAGGCATGCAAGGGACTGTAATCCACATGAGTGCTCTTCAGGTGCATTCAACTAGATAGAAATGTAGGAAATAGTCCAGTCAGGTGTAGGAAGGGTTCATATTGATGTCTGAGAGACAGAGAGAGTGTAAGGAACACGTGTAAGTGTTCATTTCATCAAA